AAAAGATTTTTGCACAATCAACAATATTACGTAAATACATAGGACTAATTAATATTTTAGTATAAATTTACATTACTATTCATTTAAGAATAAAGATTATTTAAGGGGACACCCATTTCTATTATAAAAATCTACCGTATTTCCCCGCCATGTGTACCCCCGTGTGCTGTACCCTGCAACAGTTTTAAAGGCAAGATTTTGAATTATATCTTGAAATATAAGTAATAGTTATATCCTGGGCAGTTGGGTATAAGCGGAAATGAAATTTGCGTTTATACACACAGTGTCCAGGGTATAACTGATTTATGCCCTGCGATCTTGATATAGCGACCAGGGTATAGAATGAACTCGTACAGAGACCTCCCAAAAATTTCCGCATTCCGCAGTATCCCGATTAATGTTATTACGTTATTGAGACAATTCGAAGATGCTTTGTAATTAAGTAAATTTAATAATAAAATTTTCTTTATTATCCAAGGAAACATGCATCATTATTCTAATATTTACAGCATCAGCAGAAATTTTTGGGGAAGTCGTTGTACGAGTTACTAAAATGGGCTAGGGAAATACTCCGGGTACACATGTCGAGGAAATAACATTGGCCATAATTTGTCATGACAGTATGTTTGTCATATTTATGTAGCTAAAGTCATGTAAACTACATGCAAATTTCCATAGTGGAAATAGGCGTTCTCTTAATTAATATGTACTAGTGTTTGGACTCGAGTCAACTCGTAGTTTAAAAAAACATAGTCTTAACTCGAATTAACCCGAGCTAAGACTATGTTTTTTAAGTTACGAGTCAACTCAAGTCCAAACACTACTCGTAACGATAGCATTAATGATTCGTACTGTACATTACGGAAAATAAGCACTAAGCGTGATTATCTGTGGAAATGAACTGGTTCTAAATCGAGTAATCACTGTATAGGATACCTCATCAAAGCTTAAAATTATTTAACATCAAACCGGTACAGCGGTAAAAAAAACACATTACTATTGTTAAGAGCAGCTACATAAGAATCTTATTGCTCATGAATTTCCAAAAGATCAATAATAAAAGTTATATAACATACTATCCTGAACATCGCAGAGTGTCAATATCAATGCCTCAATTATAACGCTATGGATTTTGATCATCAGTCAGGTCCTTTAATCGATGCTATGGACTATACAAAAAGAGACTTAGACCATATAGATATTGATAAATGATCAGAAATAAAGATGGACAAACCTAGTGGCTGAAAAGTGGTACTTTGAGTACTGTATTCCCAAGACTTAGAAAGAAATCTGCCGCTTAAGGATTCTTTATTTAAATATAAGACCAATACTTCCTGTTCGATGGAATATTATTTGATCTGTTTTCATGATAAGGGGAAAAAAAATTATTGTGTTCACAACTCAAGTTACTACTAGCTTGAATTTAAGAAGAATGGCTTAAGAGTAGGGAACCTGGCATGACAGAAAAAAAAATCAAAAACTTAGTAAAAAGTGGCACGAGGCATGCCATTTGGCACGAAAATAGTGGCATGCCTGTGGCATGCCTATGATATGATAAATAAATTTATGTGTGCTAGGTTCCCTATTTAAGAGCTAAGAGGTAAGCAAACTATTAAATTCAAAATTGTCGGTATAAAATCGGACATTATTGGACTGGAACTAACGAAGCTTGAGGTTAAACTAAATCTAATTGATGATTCATAAATACATAGTGGTTACTGATCTGATTGTAGATTATCGTGAGCTACCAAATGACGAGAAAAGTTAATATAAGCTTTTATTAAGTCAAATTTATATTATCAGGCAAAGTTTATTTTATTAGACTAAGTTTAAAAGACTATATAGGTATATAACTCTTGCTTTTTTATTTCTATACAAAAGGTTCGAATCAAACATCATTTTATAAAAAAATTGTGGCGAATATTCTACAAAAACTAAATAAAAGGATACAAAGAGAGCCGGGTAAGCTAAGAAAGAGGTTGAGTCCTAAGAACTTGTTTGCAAAATTAATTTATTGTCAAGTTTTGTTATGTAGTAATACAAACAATGGGCAAAGACGCTGACAGAGTAGCCAAAACTTTGACAAGTGTTACAATCGGTGCAGGTTTGATAGGAATCAGTATCTTATGCCCACCTTTGGGAGCAGCAGCGACAACCACTTATGGAATAGTAGGCGCATCAATGGAAGTTGCTGGATCATTATCTAATAATGACGAACTGAAAGAAGTTGGGGAAGTTATTACGTTTGGAGCAGGAATAGGAGGACTAGGCTGCGGAGCTATAGCTGCTTTTAGTCCAGGAACTCATGCTGCTTGTGCCGGTTGCAAAGGCGCGCCGTGGGGAAAAAAGATTTAGCTTACTTTTTTTGTTGAAAAAGATTATTTGTTTCATAAATGACTTTGAACGTTTTTGCTCAGTTGATTGTTGATTATTTTTGTAAGGCTTGCTGTTGAGAATAAAATCTAAAGTTTGCAAACATTTGCTACAATATTTATTATTATTCATTTGGGATCTCTTGCAGTATAGATGACACCGTTAATAAAATGGATTATTAATCAATTGATTTAGAATAGGCGTCACCCATACTGCAAGAGATCCCTGATCTGAATTGGATGAATTTTTATAGCAATGCAGCGCCTTTATTTTATTTGTCACAAGAGCTAACAAGATGTATTAAAATAATAAGTGGATTATAATAAATCGCTAGCAAATTCATATTAATTTATTCAATAAGGGATCAAAGTAAACACAATGATTTCTATCAAAAGTTTCTATTCATTTCTATTATGTTTATGATTGCTAAAAAAAATTTAAAGTCTTGTCGTTAGCAAAAGTCGGTGCTTAATCTTAACTTTTTCAAACAAATTTTGAAGGATGAAACTAATAAAACTAGGGTTGTTAATGGAGTAGCTTACTCCGGAGCACTCCGGAGTAGAACCCAGCCCAAGTTGGAGTGGGTTTAAAA